GAAACTGTTAGTTTAGAACTGACGGTTCTGTAAATTCATGAGACAGTTTTGCCAATCTAGGACTGAGTTTACATTTTAAAAAATCTAGGTACGATAGCGGAGAGTTCATCCAAACAATTACCATGAAAATAATTATAGGAAAGGCACCGTGGAGCAACTTTACGGCGGGAAAAAAGGGACTGAAGCCGAGGCACCAGGTGAGGACCAATAATATAGCCTATCTGACGTCATTCAGTTTTGTATCACCTGTGAGTTTATCGTTATTTTATCACTTTTACTTTTATTGTTATTTTTATGACTATTATTTTTAAACATCCCAATTATCTTAGTCAAGCATATACAGTTGTACATCTGTTATCATTAACTTATCAAGTATATGCATTTTTACAATTATTATGATTAAGTGATGAAGCATATGCTTTTGTACATCTGTTATTGATGAATCAATAACAGATGTACAAAAGCATTTCTAAACCTATTATTATTGACTGATCAAATATATGCATGTGTACATCTGTTACCATTGATTGATCGAGCATATGCATTTGTAAACCTCTTATTACTGAACAAGCATGTGCATTTGTTCATGTTATCATTAATCAAGCATATGCATCTATACAGCTGTTATCAATGGCTGGTCAATTTTTAAATCTAAAAAAAAATCAAACCGTATTCCAATATATAACCTCTATAAAACATAAAACACCTATCACCCTCTCTTATTATTTGCTTTTTTTCGTATTTTTTCAATAAAACATGACCCAGTACACATGTTGGTACATCGTATGTCCATTCCACAAAGTCTTTCCTTGCAGATTGACCACAGATTCTCGATTGGATCTAAATTAGGAGAATTTCCAGGCTAGTCTATAGTACTTTGATTTGCTCACTGGTAAAGCTTGCCAGTGTGTTTGTGCAGCGCTACAATTTTTGTACGCTTCCTTGGAGTAACGTCCATTGTAGACAATGGCTGTAGGACAACTAATCGACAGTCAAGACAATAGTGTCTGAGTATGATAAAAATCTGATGCAATCACGAATGACTCAATATTTTTCAAGGCTAAACAAATTTAATCATACACCCAGAAAATAGATTTATATTACTGCACACCACTACAAATGACCAACTCTGAGAAAAAAATAAAAATCGATTACAACCTGTCACTCCAATGGGTCTAAAACTGACAGTATGGTGAAAGAAAGGAAACTAAAGCAGTTGTTTCAATTAATTTGCATAAGGATTTATATGCATAAAAGTATCATCTACCACGTATTCAATTGTGAAAACTCTCAAGAAAATTAAATTTCGGCATTAAATAACCCATAAGGAGTTGATATGTCATCAAACAAACCCATCAACCATCCAAAAGGTTCCTGGCTGACATTAAATTCGATTTAGACTTCTATATCTCTTGGTGTGAATTCTAAATAATATTTGGTATGTGCCATATAATTCATAACAAGAAATATAGAAGTCTAAATTGAATTTAACGCCAAGCAGGAGCCTTGGAGACATAGTGTCAAACTAGTTCTGACATATCTAAACTTTTAGCTCTATACAACCGCTTTCTAAGATCAATAGCTTAGAGCGAATGAAGCCACAGGCTTCAATCGATCAAAGCCATTTTTTCACATTGATCCTAGAAAGCGGTCTTGGGGAAGTCCATCCTACTTCGAACCTTGTGGACTGGCGCTACATAATCACAGGTAGATAACTGTACCAGATAACAGAAACCACATCACTTGAGGACTTTCAACAGGGGCAACAACTAAAATGGAGAGAAAAAAAGAAAATAATGACATAATCAAGAAACTGACATTTCACACTACTTAAAATTAAAGGTTTGAAAGGAAACTCCCATCAATACCGGAAACAGCGATAACAGCTACTGAATTTGAGAAACCTATTTTCTTGAAAAAATGTTTTAAGTGAAAGATTTTATAAATTTAAACCGCTTGAATGCCTTGTAAGGAAATGTTTCATATTACCATTACATATAAGATTTCATCCATAAAGAACGCTATTTCTCTGATGAAGTCCTTTCAAGAGACGAAACGCTTAACGCTTTTTCTATTTTTTATCAAATTACCTATTAGTCTGAAATACAAACCTGTATATCGTCTATCATTATTATCTGTTCATCATGTTATTTGCGGTCATTACTCGATTTTTTCTTAATCATCTCATTCCAAACAAGACAATAAAACCTCTAAGACGCAATGAGTTACTGAGTGATAGAGAATATAGGAAAAAAGCAAGGGAAGAGAAGAATTAAGGAGAAAGAACAAAAATTAAATAGGTATACGATAACGATTGATATTGCATTTAAATTTTTGCAGATTAAAGTTGACTAAGAAGCATGAAGCCGGAAGAAAGATCTACAAGCGTGACGTGCGATGGAAAAAAAAACTGTTAGCATATAACTTACAGTTACATCTCGCCATTTCAACTGTAAAATGATGAGTCCTTACCGCCAACTTAGTACTGCGCTTAAATTCGTAAAGTCTAGGTACCAAATCAGAACAGTTAGCATGAAAATATTTATAGAAAAGGCAGTGGAAAAGTGGCTAAAGCTAAGATACCAGATCAGGAGCAATCTTTTCATTCTCTTTCACTTCCAGTAGTCGCTTGGTTTTGATTGAGGTGAATTAATTAAAAAAAAAACAATTTAAAAAGGTGTTGATAAACCGTAAAAATCAAATCAATCCTCTACTAGAGGTGTATGTTTGAATAATAGTAAGTATAACTTCATGAATAATAATAATAATAATAATAATAATAATAATAATAATAATAATAGTGTAAAATGTTTCAGTGACGCCATCGTTATGGATTTCGGAGTAGATAAATGTGCAAAAGTAACATTCAAGAAATGGAGAATTATAGAAACACTCAATAGATCTAGATTTTGTCTTAAAGATTAGGGAACTGGAACAAGAAGAAGCTTATAAGTACCTAGAAATTAGCGGAGATGGAATACTGCATACCCAAATGAAGGAGAAAGTAAGAAAAGAATACTACAGGCGTGTGTGGCTGGTATTGAATACCGAGTTGAATTTAAAAAAAAAACAGAATATCAGCCATAAACACCTTGGCTGTCCTCGTGGTGCAATACACTTTCAACAAACTTAACTGAACTATAGTTCGCATTAAGCGAATTGTCACCAAAACGAGAAAGCTTCTCACTTGCCACCGCATGCATCATCCCAAAGCTGATGTGTTAAGGGGTCCACCCCTTTTTTCATACAAGTGGACTCGCCCAGTGTGTACTTGTACTGCTGCCGGTGAATACCCGGGAATGGTATAGTGAGAGAGTGAGAGTATGAGGTAACCGCTTTGTAGGAGCCACAGTTGCGAGCACGTAGACTCAGAAGGAAGTCATACTTCGATACTGAATTTTTCAGACTGTATATATACATATTATTATTGCTACTAACCGCATTTCTGAATCTACTAACCGTATTACCAATTGTATTATTACGTCAATACATTTATTTGCTATATTTCATTCCTGCGTTTGTGATTCATTTTGAGACCGGATTTCACTCCGGAATCCACAACATGTTGATCGTCTGTTTGTGTCCAGATCCGAAGGAGGCAGAGGATTAGTTCAACTAGAACTGCCTTACAAAACTACAACAATCGGCCTTGAAAGATACCTGGAAATTACTGAAAACTGGATGATGATTTGTGTTAAAGAACATGAAAGAAGTAAGAAGCTTTATTCAGTAATAAAGGAAGCCAACAAGTTCAAAGTTTCAAATGAGCGAAGAAATACAAGTAAAACATAATAATCCTACCACAGCCGCAAAAAAATTAAAAAAAGAAAGCAAATGTAATCGACCAGATACAGAAACGATGGCATGATAAACCTCTTCATGGTCAATTTTTATGCCCGTACCAAATTAGCTGATTCCGACAAACTCCATATCTATCATTGGCTATGTAATGCAGGATATTCTTGTTGCAGAGGACCAATGCTTGCTAAATCGAAATTACCAAGCACATATACTGAAAATATGTTAGGCTAAAATGCCGATTCTGTGACAAATATCCAGAAACAATTTACCATCTTGTATCAGGTTGCACAGTATTGGTACGCACTGAATATAAAACACGGCATGACAGTGTGGGCCAATATCTCCATTGAACAATCTGCAACTTTTACGGAGAGAAAACTGCAAAAAAATGGCATGAACATCACCCAGATCCAGTTACGGAGATAGGACCTGTAACAAATATATGTAACAAATATATGTAACAAATTTATGGGATTTTACAATACATACAGACAGAATAATTAAAGCTATTCACCCAGATATCGTGATCAGAGACCTTCTTATTGACATAGCAGTCCTCCCCGCGAACTATAATGTATCTTAGAAGACCTTCAAAAAACTATCAAAATACCAAGACCTTGAAATCAAAATCTCCAATATGTGGCACATGTGAACATCAAAAATCCCAGTTGAAGGTCTCGAATTGATTGGAAAAGATCGAAAGACTCATTGAATGGATTCCTGATAGCCCATACCTTAAAGAAATACAATAATATGTACTCACAAATAGAGACTACACCTTACACAGTGTTTTATCTATGTAAAATATGTGTGATCTTAGGTGTTTTTTTTTTTTTTTTTTTTTTTTTTTGGCGGGGTGCAGATGTCTCAGAAATGCTTAGTGGAAAATATCATGATGCCATTTCTTACCTTAGGTCTTTGGTTGGGACCCAGAAATCAAGGAAAATAAAATAATATTAATAATAATAAACACATTGAAAATAAATATACCTTTTGATTGAGTTAGTTCATATTATTAACGGGATGGATGTGTTTGATCGAGGCAATGGTAGTTGGGTGATTGGTGAATTTTAGTTATAAGTTTATTTCTCAGCCCACTTTTGATCCTCGGGCATTTATCGACCACGCCCTGATAGTCCTATAGACCCCCAGATGTCGATATCAATCACTTTGGGACCCTTGATCTAGACAAACCTCAC